TTTAATTACATATCTGTGGTTTTCAGTGGAGAATTACAATTCTGGGCTAGAATACTAAATTCTTATTCTATGAAAATTAGTTTTCAGGTTTTCTTATCTTTATAGGGGTGATTCATCTCAGAAATAATAAGTGTTTTGTGTCTTCACTTGTACCAAGTCAATAACCAGCAGTCAACAATGGTAAAATTAATTTGTTAGCTTCGTGAAAACAGAGTTTAGGGCAGTGTTTGTGTGAAGAGCTCTGTGGTTGTCCTTGGACAAAAGTTTATGTGGACATCTTGAGAAGATATTGATCGAGACTGGTTATAGAGAGATGAAGAAGAGCCCAGAGGCAGGACTGGATTGAAGGAAAAGGACCTTTTAGAAAACTATTTAAAATAAAGGGAAGTAAGTTTAAAAACTAAAAAGGGAAAACTTCTAAAAATTAAGTCATATAAGGTCTTAGCCGTAATCACAGAATGATAGATTTCCCTATGTTTCTAAATTCTTGAAATGCATACACTCTGATTTTGTATCTGTGGATACTGGTTTCCCAACCTCTTTCAGTGGGAAACCTCTTTCATGTTAATGGCCACACTGACCATGAAGTTAAACCTCACATAATCTTTTAGAAATAGTAGAACAGAAAGTCAAAGCTCAACTTAGAGTTACTATGACAAAACGTACTTTGCAAAAAAAGGTAAAAAGGCAAGTTTGTCAAGTTAAAAGGTTACCATTTCCTGTTGAGTGGAATAAGTTTAAATTCTGAGTCACTAAGCAAAAATTAGAAATCAATACCATTTTTATTCTTGAAAAAGAATCATGTATTCGGCAGGAACTTCCCTCCCCATTTTAGGTAGCTGAACTATTATTTAAGCCCATGCTCCCAGTATCATACCTAATTAGACAAATAATCAGCAACTCCAGGGGGGAACGATTTGTTAGCTATTATGTTCCTGCTCTACTTAGCACAGCCACTAGAGGGCTCCACCCTTGCCTTGGAACCAAGATTTTAAATTGTTAACATGGAAGAGCAGATTTTTCTGCAAATGCTACTAACAAATCACTGTACCCAAATTGTTCTGTATGATAAAGGGAAGCTTGAGACTAAATAGAGAAAAACCACTTATTTCACATCTCCTGCAGCAGAGTCAGCCCCTTAACCACAGAAGAAAAGGTAAGTTCAAGTGGATTTAGGTGTTAACCAACTGGCAAAATCAGTACATCCTACACCACGTCATTTTTCCAGTATTGTCCATAACCTCTCATTCATCTTTTTGGCTACTTGTCAGAAGATAATATAATCTTCCAGTTCCACTAGTTGAAATGACTTGCTTTACTCATGGTTTACTAAGGCTTGATAACAGACCACTGCCTGCTTCTGGGTTGAGCTGTCACTCAAAACCCCAAACTTTTGCTACTCTTTGAAAAGGAGGCAGCATGACTACTTCATGTGAGATCAAAGGTTCATCTCTTCTGTTGTTAAACTATAACAACAGAATAAATAATCTGTAAATATTACATATAT